GGGGGGGCCGCCCTGGCTGCGTCTGGCTTTAGACGACCCCCAAATTTGGTAATATCCGATACAAGTTATTGTGTTATTTAGTAATATCCGATACAAGTTATTGTGTTATAATTTTATTGCATTAATAACCCATGCAAGTGTACTATATAGGAAAATTGGCTAAAATAGGGTGTGATTTATGCAAATTGATTCAAATTTATGCTTTCATAAAGTATTGGTTCTTAAGCTATGCATTTTATGATAAAAGTATATACGTAGCACTAACTAAATCAACTAAATTTTCTTTATATAAGATGCTAAAAAGTATATTTTTTATACTGTCGAAATTTCTGAATATATTAATAAATTTTTTACAAGTTATTTTTATAATATTATTCAAGCAATATGAAATACAAAACCTTTAATCTTTTTCTAATCGCATTTTCTTTAAGTTTACTTGTATTAACTATTAATGCTAATGCACGTAGACCCATTCGTTTTAACATACATGCTAATAGACCCACTCGTTTTAATAAACATGTTAATAAACATCCTGTTAAATCTACAAATACTACACAAACTCCGGCATGTCAAGCACGTGGTAGAATGACTTAGGGTATATACCTCTAGGATATAATCAGATGGACGGCATTTCTACTCCGCAAGAATGTTGTAATTCATGTATTAGCGATCAAACTTGTTTTGAATGGTACTTTAATCCTATTAATAGTGTATGTGCTTTTGTAACTAGTAATCCATGCTCAGGTGCAACATATTCAATAAGCTGTATTGGTCTTGAAGGTGGAAGTGTTCGTTGTAATGATGGCAGTAACTGTTAGTAAATTAATTAAAAATTAATATATGTAATTAAACCAATAAATTATTAACGCACCAACGCACTTTGATTTTTACTACATATTCCAAGCAATATTACTCTTCACATTCTTCATAAATTGTAGGACCTGATAAATTTGTAGTTTCTATATAAATTACTAGAATAAACGGTCGTTATAAAGAATATATATTGTAATACGTTTCATTATTTGGCCAGTTATTATGCTGTTAAACTAAGAATCGGAAAAATCCAGTCATGTAGCAGATAGTGTTCCGCAAAAGATCTGGTTCGATCCGTCGACCGGATCGAACCCGGACCTTGATTTGTCAAGAACGATAAACCATCCTAGCATCGCCCAAAAATCAGTTATGTAGTGGTACTTAAATCAACACTCCGACCAATTACATTAATCAAAGACTGTAAAAACATTTTTTTAAAAGTAAAAGGTAGTCCATAAACATCATTTCACGACCAATATTACTAGAGTGAAGTAATTTAAATTAATTTATGCTATTTTGAGAGTAAGGTTAGGGCAGTAAATTGTTTTTCTGATATTGTTTATTACTGGTTACTTTACACTAGTGATTGTATTCGATGAAAAAATGTTACCCGGATATCTGATGGGTAAACTAATGATGGGTGACGCAACTATTTTTGGCAATGACGCAATGGTTTCGTCATGGTTTCGTCTGACGCAACTACTGACAATTGACGCAACTACTGACGCAACTACTGACGCAACTACTGACGCAACTACTGACGCAACTACTAATGATTGACGAAACTCTTGACAAAATTAATTAACTAATAAAATGTAAATATACAGTTGACCCTCTTTTGACAGGCTTCTTTATACTAACCTCTGGACATTCTGAATTTTAAAATTATATTGTTATTCATCATAAAAATTCATCGATTCATATGAAAACATAATTTTTTAATTGACAACAAACATCGTTTCTATTAAATTATCAGTTATAGCAAGTTAGTGTGACAAAAATAACGAGCCTATACAAAAATTAATTTTATCTTTATATCCTTACATTACATTGAATCTGAAATCTATAGTCTTTTTCATTGCTGGTAGTTCATTAGATATACGGGTAAATCCGGGTGATTGAGGCAGATCATCGGGAAATGTCGGATAGATATGCCATAAAGCAGAAACTGAGTAGATATAATAATGACCAAAAAATCAACTTCACATGGAAAAATTTATTTCCATTATGGAAGGAATGAATGATAGTCTTGTGCTTTATCATTCATCATGAGTTTTGTTATTTATCATGAGTATTTTTC